GAAATGCCGAAGGCAGTCTTAATGACTTTCATGTCTAGTGGTTTGAAAATTTGGTAGAAAAGCAGGACCCTATTGGAAAGCTACCTCACCCACCTTTTTCTGACAAAGCAAATTGCCCCGTTGGCATGATGTACTCATACATGCACTGGAATACTTGACCCTTCTCCCCTTGAATGTCACTAAAGACTAAAACACACAATCAAAAGCACACCGAGTCTTCAGGGGTTGTTTTGTTCTCTTTCAGTAAAGACAGAGCACCCTCCCTGCCCCCCCCCGCCCCCCCAAAAAAACAATACTCTTCATAATGACAGTTTTTCAACCATTCTCTTCCCGGCGGCCAATATCCGTTTCACACCCGCTATTTCAAAGAACAACTAGCATTTACTACCTCCTTCCTTTCACGAGGATCACAAACCATGTTTTGTCTAAAACCCAGTATTTCCTTCTAATTGCAAACTCAACCCAACTGTCCTAAGCACTATTCCACACAACGTTTCGGGGATGTTTTTTCGTGTTTCCATAAACTCCAAAGATCACATCCTTTCCCCGTCACCCTCTTCAGAGCGTCCCTGTTGAAGGCACAGAGGGGCAGAAAGAACCCGTAACTCCGGGACAGGCCTTCCCGGACAGCCAACGTCCACAGACCCGCCTCGACCACCTGGGAACCGAGCCGCCTGTTCTCCACGTGTCCCAATGTGAGGGGCCGACTTGCGCCAATGCCAATTCCTAGTCAACAGAACGAGGGCCCTGGCTACCGAAGACAAAATTAGGGGCTGCCTGCTCAGAAGGGGAAAGCAAGCGAGTGGGATATTCCTAAACAAGGCCTCAGAGCCCTGCAGGGAGAGTCCCTGGTTTGCCCAGAAGGGGGAAAAGAGGGGGAAGTATCACACTGTCCTCTGGTTTAGTTCTGTTTACTTCCTGTTGTACATGTTTACAAATATTTTATTAGCAACACTCTATCTGTATACAATTACTGATTCTAAATAACCATTACTGTCGACTTACTTATCTTTACCATTAAAAGGTGCCTATGACTCAGAAAAGATTCTTTTCGTACTATTTTGGGCTGAATTTTCTAAAGATTCGACTTCGTGCCTTGCAGCTCAAGGCGGGAGTGAGGGAGCTCAGAAGCTGCTGTCGGGTGAGAGGCACCCGCAGGGCACCCCAGCCCCCAGCGCGTTCATGGAGCACGGTCGGTCCATGAAAACAGGACCGGAATGATTGAAAGAACGTTTGAAAACTGAGCTCCACTGTTGTAAAATTAGGTTTCCACGTAGGTTCTGTCGGGGAACCAGTTACTGAGTAAAGCATAATAAACCAACTAGAAGCCCCTCACTACCGCTGACTCCATTCCAACTCAGAGCATCCTCCAGGACAGAGCAGAACAGAACGGGGCCCCTGGATTCCCGAGACCGCATCTTCCCGGGAGCAGACAGCCTCAGCTTTCTCAAGCGGAGTGGCTAGTGGGTTCAAACCACTTACTTTGAGGTTAGCCACTCACCCTGAAAAGCTCTTACTCAAAGAGGGGAAGGCAGGACAGTTTAAAAAAATAATAATAACAACAACTATAATAAAAGGTGGTATAGAAAACTGCCACACAGCTGTAAATGTACCATGAGTAAACCACATGGGGGTGGGGGGTGGGCTCAGATGGAAAGTGGGGCGTGCTCAGTGGCGGTGACGTGGTTTTGCTGTGATGGACTCCCTTGGACTCCAGAGTGATGCAAGCAGAACTGTGCTACAGGGTTTCCCGATTCGATCTTCAGGGAGGCAGATCTCCAGGTCTTTCTTGCGGGCACCACTTGGGTGTGTTCAAATTTGAAACCTTGCAACGCGCAGCCGGGCACTTAACCATCGTGCCACAAGGCTCTTGCTTCTGACCAGAGCTGAGGTTAATTACTCACAGCGTTTAGACTTTCCGTTCTATCTTTGACTTAAATGCTGGCTCCTTTTCATAAGAATACCACAGGCAGAGAAAACTAGAATGTGCCAAAATTTTTTGAATACTAATATTCCAAGGAGCCGAGCTCTTCAAGGTAAATTTTCAGCCCCCACTGAGTGATAGTTCTAACACCAAAGACAGGTAAACTAATGTCACCTCAACGGGGAGATTAAGAGGTACAGACATCAATGAGCATCCTAAAGGAATGATTATTTTGTCCTCTCACTTTGCTTAGGGAAGAGTCCACTGAGCAAAAATAAATAAATCTGACTGGTTGTTGCCCCAAACAGTAGGGGACAAGCATTCATTCATGAGCATTTTGCTTCATGTGACATTCTATCCCAGTCAGCTGGAACGCATTAGCCACAGAAGCGCACCAAGGATTTAATGATATGCAAATATAGGCAAATACAAGCTCAAATAATGGTGAGAGGACAGCTTACTGAGATATCAAATTACAAATCTAGTAGGAAGACACTGGAAATGTCTTCATTTCTAGTAAGGGGAAGCTGTGAACTATGCAATAAACATATGCTTCAGAAAACATTCATCACACGTGCAGAAAAATGTTACAAAAATCTATCTTAATATAAGCAAAACAGACATTATAAAATAATCATCTCTTCTAAGAAATAATTACAGGAGAAGTAGTTTTATTACGTAATGGAGAAAGATCTAATAATTAACACGGTGGAATCACGGCAGCACATTTGTTTTAAAGCAACCAATCATAAACACGAGAATTTATTTAGTCCCAAATTATGAAACTAGAATTACAAATATGACGGACTGTCACTAATCCTGAGGGGGAGAGAAAGGCAGACAGACAGACAGATGAAACGTATACCAAGGGCACTTGACAAGCAGCAGCACAGCATGAGGAAATCCAAACCAAGGCTCCGACAGCCAGCTCAGAGGTGGCGACAAACGTGCCTAACTTCATCACACCTCGAGTACCAACTGCGTCGAATTAGAGAACCCAGGTAATCAGACCCCAGGGTCACGCCGGAACCCAACACCAAGGCCTTGTTCCTGAAAACCCGCCTTTCCTTACTGGCATTCAACGATTTATCGATGCCGTCTCCACATATGCATACAGATGTTTGTAAACCTCACACAGAAATGTCTGGCACATGCAAAGCTCAGGTAGGGGGGAAGAAAAGCCCACAAAAAGTTCCTATTAATAAAACCCTAACTGGTTGGGTGGGTGTCAGGTCCACCAGTTGGTCTCAGGCTTGTCCTTTGCCACGGCCACTCCTACCCATTCAGTGCAAAGCTTGGAGCCTGCTCTGTGAGGAGACTCCTGAGATGGGTGTTCGAGGGTTCCTGAGCCCATCGGCCAGCCAAGCAAACACTGGTTCAGGCATTTCTTTTCCTAACAACGATGCAAGAAACCACAAATCCTCAAGGTAAAGATTCAAGGACAGCACGGTAGTACAGATATAAATAAAACAATTTGGGGAATTTTTTTAACTATTGATAAAGTGATTTGTGTCCCCAAATATCCCCACCTCTGTCCTCACCACCCCTGCTGTGCAGTTAGCTGAGTGCCAACCCACCTGCCATCCACCACACATACAAGCATATGGCCCTGTGTGTCACATACAGGGTGGCTGCAGGCACCTCCACGGCTTCACAGAAAATCTGTATCGACACAGACAACTTTCCAGCCAGGGGGACAGCACCCACCACTTGCCTGCGACAAATCTACAAAGTTTGGCTTCTCAAAAAAAGCACTAAAAACAAACAACGCCCCCCTCCCAACACACACACACACACACACACACACACACACACACACACACAAGTGCACGCACGCATACACGCACAAAAAAACCCCAAAAACCTTTTAAACCAATATGGCCAAAGTATAAATAGCTGGTCCACTAAAATGGACTTCACTATCCACCTACCAATTTAAATCCCAGTGCCCCTCAGCCCCCCAAAGCCCTGCAAGGACGCATTCAACAGCAGCACAGACACAGGGGCTCCCGGCTCGCCCAGCGGCTTATTGCCTGCTATTGAGCAACAGCCCAGAAAGCACTCCCACCACCTGTCATGCCTGCAAAAATCATGTGTCACCCTCCAGTTACACCCTCCAGGATGACTGCTGACTGGCCGGCTGACCACCATAAGACCTCATCCCCTGCCAAGGAATGAAAGCTGTGTAAAACAAAGACAAAAAGGGGGTTCTAAAGAGATGGACAGTGAAGTTGAAAACTGTGCACATCCTATAACCATCTAGTAGCTTCTGTCTAAATCACATGTGACTCATCCCAGGTCCGGCATGCAGGCCTGATGCTCCGGGTAATGTTCATCTCACCTGCTTGGTCCCAAATGTTTCCAACAAGCTACACAGGCCTAATGCCACCATCTTTGAAATTCAGAGCAGAGTCCTGTCTAGCTGGAATTCCCCATCTCAAATAAATTTCTGTACTAGAGATTAAACACTATTAATTATTCACACCAGAGTATCTTAACAAGAATGATCAAAGTATTTATTTGGATCGATTGATTAGCTCAAGTTCCTAAGAACTGCCTTGTCAAATTTTGAATTCAAATATTGTCTTTCTGGGTAATACATACAGACAGACCGGGTGATTTTTTTTATTATTACTTATGATGTCACGAAAGAAATTCAAGCTACCATCAGATGCTCGATCTCAAATTCAAGCTACCAACAGATGCTCAATCTCATCACTTCTACCCTCTCCCAGGTGCAGGTGCCTCAGCTGGTGTCATGCCCAGGAAGCCACAGGCTAACCCTCCATGGTGTCTGAGCCGAGCAGGAACTGCCCGCTCACAAAACCACCTGCCATAGGTGCTGCACTGAAGAGACGCCGCCTACAGAAGATGCGGACGTGCGGGCCAGAACTACAGCGCGCCCAAGAATCACAGCAAGAAAAGACAAATCACAAAACACATCGGAAATCTGGAAACCTCTCCCTCCCCACCTTCATCTCAAACCTGAAGTTGAAGTAGAGCACACACAAACAACCATTCTTTTGCTTTTTAAATAAACACAGTGCATTTCCAAATCAACACGGGCATGGCTTACCGGTAAACTTGATGGCCTTTCTTGCTGGATTAAGTTCAAATCTTCATGGTTGGGTTTCCCGGGAGCCAGCGGAGGTTGAGGCCTAGTTCCATAGCCTTCCTGAGACATGTCCTGAAAACAAAAAAAGCACTTTTTAAGTATCTCCATGAGTTATAAGCTTCTTCGTCTGTCCAAACGCAAATGATTGACCCACATTATATTGAATCAGACGTGCATTTTTAGCTAGCTAGTTTCTTCAACGCTTTAGGACAAGCATAAACAAGACAAAGCTGTTGAGCCATCAGTAGCAAAAGGCCCGTGTAATTAACAATGAAACGTATCAGAAGCCTATCCACACTTTCACGAAGAGCTGAGTTTTGCAAAGGGATGAAATGTGGCTGGAGCCCAACCCCCATTCTTACCTAAACAAAGCCACGCTCATCTCACTATTTAAATCTGATATAGGTTGAAAAGGCTTTAATATTACTGCCCAGAGTGTTAAAATAATTCACAGAAATTGTATCATCCTGTGGCTTTGCACGGGCCCTCTCGATGAACCCACAGAACAACGGTAGTAGCTCTGAAGCCCTGGCTAGGGCTCCTCAGGGGCCCACGTGGCAGTCTGCAGAGGATCGCAGAATAAAGAATAACACCACAGCAGTGGAAATCCCCCGCCCCAAACACCTGCTGAGGGATAGGAGGCTGGCCACTGACATGGCTTTTCTGACATCTCGTCCAGCCCTTTCCCCGGAGACAGCGTTCGCTGTGATTTCGGCGTGATGCTGAAAGACTGTTACATAATTCAGTCGCCACAGTGCGCCCGCCCGCGTTCAAGCTGGTTCAAGGTGTCTGTCAGCCCAGCTTCTAATAGCCACCTTCCATGTCCCTCCCAGCAGCAAGACAGAATGAGAAATGCCTACTGCAGAGGCAAACTGGCCCTGGAAGTTGAGGAACCAGTTTTTGACTGGGGAAGGGAGGGGGCGAGCGGGTGGGGGTGGGGGGTTAGAGTTCACCCTTGACAATACAATTCTTTCCCTGTCACGGCTTCGACAATGTGTTAGAATCACACACAACATTCTCTGCACATTCTCCTCCTTCTGTGAAGTCCCTAAAATGTCACTTCAAAACTGAACGTGTATTTGCTGAAGCCCCATAAAAGGTGCCTGCCGCCCCGCCCCTTTCTCCCACAGAGCACCCTAGAAACTGCACTGTGGCCATGCCAGGACACCCTGGACCGGGAGGCGGTGCTGCAAAGCACACAGGCCACACAAACTCGTTCCAACCCGCCCGGCCAGCCCTGCACACCGGCTGGGGAGGGGCAGGGAGGGGAGAGTCCTGCAGCCTGGGCCCTCCAGTAAGGAGGCCCCGAAATCATTCACCTATACGGAAAACTCCCTACAGCCTTGAGGAATGCCGGACGCTGCCCAGCTCTCGGCAGAGGGCATCCTGCTCGTGAGGGTTTCTCTCTGGACCAAGAGGATGAGGAGTCAAGGGGTCCTGAGAGGGACAGAGTCAGCCTGAGGGGAGGCTCTGAGCACAAGCCCTCTGGCCTTGCGTTTCCTCCCTCAGGCCTCCTACCGTGGCCGCAGGTTCCTGCAGACCCCCAGGAGGCTCTCTCAGAGCCGGGGGCAGCAGCCCTCCATTCAGAGGTCTTCACACCATAACAAAGCCCCACAAAGAGGCAGGACAGCTTCACAATGGCCAGACAAATGAGCAGGCTGCTCCCCAGACCCCTGTGCACGGGCACCCTCCGATTTCAGAGGTTTGGGGAGGGACACGGAAACGGACGTGCCTTTCAAAGGCCTTTTATTTTCTCTCTGCAGCAGCGCCAAATGAACGGCTTTCTGAAGGAGCTGAAAAAGACCATCGCAGCCACACAGAGAACACATCTCAGCTCAGATGCCTCCTCCAGAACAGTGGCCCGGCCACTGGGCTGCGGATGCCCTCCTCTGCAGCATCGGCCGTGGCTTCCCCGTCCACTTCCTCTTAGCAGCTCGGAATAAGCAGCGGCCACCCAAATCTCAAATCCTATTCCTAACCCAGAGCAACAACGAGCCAAGTATTTATGAGTTGGGAATAAAAGCCAATCATAATGTAGTGAGAATCTCTGAATGGGGAACTTGCTCTGTGCCTCAATTGAAATTGTGCGAATTCAAGGATGAACTTAACTGAGACAACACTGGGAAAGCTACCACTTCAACCTCTGACCTTGTGTCTACGCATCTTGCCTGAAGACAAAACAAACAAACCCACTGTGAATCTCTAGGGGGCCAGACAGCCTCCACTTTCTCCTGAAGAGTAGTGAGTGCGTTAGAACCACCAACCTTGTGGTTGAAAGTCCAAGCCTTGGCCATCAGAGGCCATCAGGCCTTCCTTACAAGGAGCATGCAGTGGGGTCTACAGCCTGTGTGTGTAGGCTCTTACAAAGTTCCATCCGTAACAAACGAGAGCCTTTTCACATGTGGAGTGACATGTGGTTTCTGTTCATCTCAGTGTGAGTGAAGAGGAACAAGCAATTCCGTCACCCAGGCCAACGCAATGCCAGTTTCCAAAAATAAAGCGTGAGTCCACACCACATGGTATGAACAAATGGCAACAAGGAAGCAGTTCTGCGTGTTACAAAGGAGTGCGGAGCGAGGGCCCCTTGCTACTATGCACACCAGCACAGAATGAGTTTGCATTTTCCAGACACACACTGGGATATTTTTTTAAATAAAAAGGATATCATAGCACTGCCATTAACACCTCAACGCAAAAAGAGCCAAGCAGGAGGCAGTGTGGATGGCCACGCCAGAATCCTGCGCATGCATCACACCTGGGCCAAGTGTGGGCCTTAACCTGGCACCTGCTCTGAGTCAAAGGTGAGAGGCCCAGAAAGCACGGGTCTGCACGCTCTCCGCTCCAGGTTTCCACGTAGATATTTCACCCAGTACAGGAGCGACGCACAGGATGCCTTACACTAGCATTCCTGCCTCCGTGCCCACACTCACTCACCTCACACTAGCATTCCTGCCTCCGTGCCCACACTCACTCACCTCACACTAGCATTCCTGCCTCCGTGCCCACACTCACTCACCTGAGGCACAGGCGACAGCGGGAACCGCGAGCAAGGGAGAAAACACGAGCGGCTTGCTGCCGTTTTCGGAAAGGACAGGACCAAAATTACCACGAGGGACGTGGTTGAGAAAGACCAAGTGTATGAGCTCTTGCTTTCTTTTATTGCAAGATGATTTAAATAATAAAGGACCACCAGGGATACTTGCGAAAATATCTTAAAAACTTACAAACATACAAAGCCTGGTATAAATCTGAAAGCTAACGAGGTAAGCGATGAAAAAGATTGCGATGCCGCCCCTTCCTGAATCCCTTCCACAGGCACTCCCTCTAATTGTTATATACATTTTAAAAATTATATTTCCATACTTTTTACATGTGTTTCCAAATACAAGTGTAATTGTAAGTTCAAAGCCATTTGTCTTCTAAAAGCACACCTGGAGTATAGTTTTATTTTGCTTTCCGGTGGCTTACTTGGTCGGTCTCTTAGCGACCATTCTAGACCTGCCTTGGTGAATCTACTTTCTTCTTTCCTTGGGGTGGTGTAGTGCCTATGTAGTAGGTTGGGGTCTGCAAGGTCAGCAGTTCAAAACCATCAGCCCTTCCTTGAGAGAAAGACAGGGCCTTCCACTCTAGTAAAGAGTTAGTCTCAGAAACTCAAAGGGTGCTGTTTGACACTGTCCTGTAGGGTCACTATGAGCTGGCACTGACTCGATGGCAGTGAGTTTCTTTGAACTTCATGACTCGCCTGCCCTTGTCATTTCTTCACAGTCCCCCTTGATAGACACACGGATTGTGGTCTTTGCCGCTTCACTCGGCACTGTGAGATGTCCTTCACTCCCATCTGCAGGCAAACATTCCTGTAGCATGAAGCGTGACCCGTGGAATTCCAGTGGAATTCCTGCAACTCAGGGCTGGTGCCTTTGAAACCGTGGTCGATTCCGGAACAGCGTCCCTGGGAAGGGAAGCGTGGCTGTGCCTGGCATCTGCAGTAGAAGGAGCTTTACGGGAGATGCTGACATCAGCAACATGACACCACCGGCCACAGCACACGGCGGAAAACGGAGCGGAGCGGAATGGGCAGGCGGGCAGGGGCAGCCACGGAGAAGAAGCACATGGGCGAAGAAGGAAAGGCAGGCAGAAGCACAGTCACAGCTCGGGGCACCCCTCCCTCCTCCACGGAGGGAGTCCACGGGCTAAGGAAAGCTGCTATCTTCTCTGGTCCACCTGAGAGCTCCCATCGAGGTAAAGAGCTATGGGGACCCCCCTGGGGTCCTGAGCCAGAGCACGTGAGCACTGTGTGCTGTTTATGAAGGCGTTTCCAGCAGCCACGAGTAGGCTAGGATGCCCCTTTCTGGTGGCTACCACAGTGAGGATGAGCCCAGTTGGTTAGCAAGCTGCCAGATCTACCACATAACGTGCTTCTGAAAACCCAGGGGGTCAACCCAGAGTGGTGGCAACGAGTGAGGACCACTGTCCCGCTGCTGGAGGGAAAGTGGTCCTGGCACAGAAGGCCTTTCAGCCAGAGGAGCTGTCACAGGTGAGTGGGGTACCTGTGAGCGTGGGAAGTGGTGTGTGCAGTTCACACTCCTTCAATGAATGTCGACCACCCCTTCCCAAAGGTTAGCAACTTGCGCACGTCCATGAGACAGACACTCAAATACGGCGGCACCATGCGGGGCAGCCCTGTGGGAATGAACCCCACCGGCAAGGACCAGGATGGCGGCTCGTGGTGGGCAGGGAGGCCTGGTGCTGCAGTGGTGACAAATTAGGCTGCTAGCCATGAGGTCAACTTCTGGAACCACTGGCCGACCCATGAAAGAGGAGGCTTTCTACTCCCATAAAGTTTCTCTCTCGGATACCCACAGACAGGTTTTGCCTTGTCCCTGAGGCTCACTGAGACTTACAACCACCCAGAGAAGTAGTTCCTAGTCTTGGTGGAGAATCGTACTTCTGAGGAAACAAATTCGTGAGTAACTAGCCATCAGGCTCCGAGTGAGGGCATGGCCACGGCCGCTGCACGGTGGACAGCCCTTCGCTTGACGTGGCTGCCCTTGGTAGACAGCTGGAAGCCCTGC